CTGGTCTTGATTTCATAAGCAGCTCTAAATATCTAGCGTTTTTTTTAATTACCGACATTTGCGGCATTCACTGTTTCCCTACTCCGAGCCTTACCACAGAATTTCAAGGTCAACCATAGTTGCAATGTGCCAAAGGTTGAAATAAATTGCAAACTAAATATGCATTGTGCCTGTAACTTTGTCAGTTTTGCTAGCTTCCTTGATGATATTTGTATTCTGACAACACAATACTTTACTCGATGACACCTTCAGAATTAATATCTTGGGTGATGTGGACAAACCATATCATTTCAGAACCACTGTTTATTTCTTTGCTTTTTGTTCAGTTTCCACTCATGCAGCCATGCCCGACAGCCGACTTGCATGAAATCCTTTCTCGAGTATCCGAATTTACTCGTCAACTCGATTACTTCGCTAAACGGCACCGTCTCTCCTCAACCGATGCAGCTCTTCTCCTTCACGTCACTAGTGGTGACGTCGAAGCTGCTGGTCGCATTCTAAGTGGAGCAAGTGCTGATTTTGATGATACCTCTTCCTTTTGGTATCCCTCCGACGATGCTCATCTTCTCTCCCTTTCCTCTGCCGACATTCATGCGGTATATCAAAAATTTGGACCGAAAGAGGTCTCTAGGCGCCTCGTATACCTCGCTGATCAGTCTCTCTTTTCGTCCTCTCTCTCCCCTCATCCTAATCATTAACAGGATTTCATTTGTGTATACTATGTCATAGCTTTGTTGTTTTTGTTTAAAATTGTAATACTAATAAAGCAACCAATAATTTGTCACTTGCTTTCGTCTTCAATTTTGTATTTCCTAAAGTAAGTGCCATTTAATCTACTTAGTGATGCCTTATGGAAGACCAGTATCACGCCGGCGTCGCAGAAGGTTTCAAGGGACAGATCAGGCGTCGGTAATACCAGTGGTGAAGCGAGAGGCGAAGGAAACGACTCAGCATGCCTCAACGGGGTCAGAAACTTCTGCTTCGCCCCACGAAGCTCCTCGTCACTGTAACCGACAGGGTGCAATTTCATCGGCAACGACAATACCGGTAGCAGTGCCTTCACCTGATCTGCTGCGTGCTGGCCACAAGGCCGGGGTGTGGCCGCTGCGAGAACGTCTCCTACTTGCCTCCGCCCTCCTCGATACCGACAATCAGCAGCTCACTTGGCCGCCCATCTCTAGACGCCTGGCCAAGTTCACTCCACCCCCTAGCTGTGGATTCGTCAGACCTCCAACTTGGTGTTCAGCCAGGGCTTGTGCCAAGCAATATTCCTTACTCCTTGATTCTGCTGAGATGTTTCGAAAACAGCAGGTATGTGGGCGAATTTTCTGCTCATTATTTTCTGTATACACAATCATTTTCTATCAGATCGCTCATAATCCGCTGCTTCCTTCAAATTTTTTGCTTCACGTGGCTGTTCTGACGTCTATCGTTTTTATGTCGGTGCATTGCAGTGCAGCTCTGAGTCAACTTGAACTGCATCCCCGAATTTTAATGCCCATTAAATGTTAGATTGAGCATTGTCTACTTCTTAGGGTGATGGCTCAGTTAAATGGAGGCTTATTTTCACGCTCTCACTGACTTGATTGCGTGCCGTCTGCATAGCTGTCCCACACGACTTGAAGAATTTTTTTGGTGAAGGCATTGCTAAGTGGATGCAAAACTATGTCAAACATTCCATTAGAGCATGAGACATGCATCTAATTTGAAACTTCGGCGTTGGTTGTGAGGTGCTCCGTGTTATTCGATTGAGGGTATTCCAAAGAATGCCTGTTTTGTCAAAAACAAGCTCCACTTTGATTGCGATTCCCTTTGCAATCAGAAAGATCTAATAATTTCAGCTCTTATTCATTTGTTTGCAAATAGCTAGTCAGGATTTTAATGCTCATTTGACCGTTCGATAAATTTGTCAGTGGCATTCCATTCATCATGAGTTTTTCATAGGTTCCGGAACTTTCACAAATCAGCCTTCAAGTGGGCCGAATTTTGTAATGGGTTGAGGCTCAACTCTTTACTAAAATGCGCTCGGTAGCTTGAGTATTCTCTCATGCATAGCTTCTTTTCGCATCTTCTGCCCAGCCATAATGACGTGTCAACGGCATGCTCGAATTATTGCATTTTTATGGATTTGTGTGCGGTTTTTAGGTGGACGTGGAGAGAAGTGCGGAAGAAGGTCGGGTGGTGTTCCAGGCACCAAGCGACGTGGCTGCTGCCACTGCCACTGTCGGTTTGAGCCTCGCCGAGTTCATTGTTAAACGCCTCACTGTGGAACGTGTTGAGGAGTTGCGTAGTCAGATAATCTCTGCTCGTCAGAAGTACAGGTATCTCCGCACTATCTCTCCTCTTCCATTAACTTACGCAGTGTTATGAATCTCCTGAGTTTAGTAAACTGTGTCGACATTCCTGAAGCAGAAGGGAAATTGCATGACTTCCTACTTTAAACAAAAAAAAATATTGTTTTTGTCCAGACTCAGCTTCTAGTTGCACTGTGGCGAATGGACCATGGTTCATATCACTGTAACTTTTGGGAAAAATTTGTTAGAACTAAACTTGAACAGGTGTCAAACATTCCGTAACTTTTTGCTTCTTATGCTCCTGTAGTTCCTACGTTGAAAGGTTCAGAGACAATGTTGAATGCAAGTTTTCATGACTCACTGCTCGAGCAGAGCTCAGCGAAATTGTTGGTCTCCATGCGGTCTTTGCTGTTATTAGTTCCATCCAAAATCTATCTGGTTTGGAGGTCACTTTATTATGAACTACATATTCAGTCCAAGACTTCTGTGGCATTTAGGGGTAACGTCTTGATGCCGGACCTGCTATCAATAAGCTTATGCACTATCAATCAGTTGAAAACTTCCCCGTCGCGTTAAATCGGACCCTCTTGATTTTTTTGCTGTAAGGATGTAATAAAATCTGCAAAAGGTATATCGAACATCATCCCAATGCATGGTTTGCAGGATCCACTGGACTGTGCATTTCGCCCAGGAGGTCTCAGCGCATTGATCTGTTAGCTTTATTAAACCAATCATATCCTTTAGCCTTTTTGAAGGCCCTGAAAGCAGTTGTGATCACGTTCTTCCTATCATCTCTTCCTCCTAATATTTAGGCCTGAACCATTGAGCTTGTTATTAGAAGGAGCCATTTGTTTGTTAATTGCTAATATAGTTGTCCTGTCGCGGTATACCTCCAGCCGATTAAATTTGGTGATGACACTAGATGGATGGTCGTGTTGGAACTGCCATACCTGCAGACCTTAGGCTCAAACGCACCATCATTTCTGGAACAAAATTAATACGGATTTGGCAGATGCGTTGGCAGACTGGGACAATATTCTTGTTTGATTAATTAAATTTATGCAAACAATTTCATGTTTCGTGCCAAAGTGTATTGAATGAGAAAGTGCGCATTTACGCTCAGTGGACTATGTTGGCAAAGGATATTAGTAGGTGCAGCATCTGTATCATCATTAGGTTGTCGTAATTTCGCTTTGATATTATGACGATTAATAATTTAATTAGAAGTACAAATCTGTTAGTCGTTACCCTATCATTACCTCAGCTTCATAATTTCTTTTTTTCGGTAAGTCACACTACAAAAATGCTTAATTGTGGTGGCCACCCATCCGTGATTTGGGTGGCTAATGAATGCGCTAGCTGAAGGTGGCGGTACTTCTTGTGAAAGAAGGATTGCATTGATTGCCATCAACATAGCAATAGCGCATGAACTCTCATTCTTAGGCTTTTTAAAGAGATGCTGGAAAAGGTGGAGAGCGGCAAGTTTGATAGCTGCATTGACACCATTTGGGATATCGTTCAACGTCAACAAGAGGAGCATTTCGCTTCTGGATCTTCCGAACTCCCCGCAGATACGCCTCCTGAGGTCGTTGAATTTGTCCGCGATTTGAACAGCTGGACGGATCCATTTGACGTCCCTTCCTCCGTGTGGATGGTTGCTGGTGGTAGTGGCGCCGCTCTCCGTAGCGTTCCTTCCATCGCTAAGGTTACCACCCCAAAGAAAATGCCTCCAGTCACCAGCAAACCGAAGTCCCCTCCGGAGAGAAGGCCCAGTGATTCAAGTCGAAGTACATTAAACTCTCTTGAATCTATATTCAATCTGGAAAATACTTTATTTTGTTAAATAATTTCAACTTATGAACTTTTTTAGCATCTATATGTTCTGAGCTGACAAGTTTGGTGCTTGGTATTTTGAATTTTTTGTGTATGTTTGCATTGCGAGTCACTCTACCTTAAATATTCGTCTTGAAATTATGATGAGATGATCTTGAACATTGATTTCATGTATGTACATTATAGTTATTTTGTGTTTCCAGTGATAAAAGGAATACATATCTCCGTTCTGCTATTGTAGAATATTTTGATTTAGTCATATTTGGGGGATACCGCTTCAATGCAATTGCTTAGAGCTGTTTAAATAGTGCATTTTTCATTGAAATTAACTTGTGTCTTTCGAGGTGGAAATGCCTTTTCTTTAGACTCGACCGCAGAGGCTGCTGAAGGCGAAGGAGGTGATGCAAGCTGTGACAGAACCTCGACACCTTCGACGAGTGTCATGTCAGAGTCAGATCTTGAGTATGGTGAGGACACGTTGAAAGCTGAAAGTCCAGATTCTGGCGGGCTGGATGAGAAGGAGGAAGAAGAGGAGTCAACAATACCTCTTCTTTCCTCCAGTGGTGGAAGCCCCAAGCCAAAACTCAAGGCTACCAGTTCACCTGATGTTCAGTAAGTTAAGTACTTTCCTTCTTTTCAGCGTTGTCGGATTAGGGTCCATAACTGGTTAACTTTAAAGTGTTGTTAGCTAGAATCTCCCCTATAGGAAGCACATTACCCTTGACGTCGCAAATTTTTCTGCTCGATTTCTCGCACTACACGCGATGCGGGTTTGTTATTAGGTTATTGGTAGGTAGCTTCGCGTGCTACTTTCATAAGCAGGTAGCGGCTAAACCAGTAAAATAGTAGTTTACACTAGAAAGTAGCTACTTTTAAATTTGCAAAGCATTTGAATTTGCTAGAACTAGGTGATAAACGATGCCCTGATCTTTTAAAATGTAAAAATTGTTATCCAGACTTGCTTTCTGTCATGAGTCTCTGGACAGTAAGCGTAAAACGGAAAGTAACCTGGGTGTTCACGTACTGGAAGTAGTAGTTTTCGGCTTGTTGCAACATGGGGCGTAACTTAGAATTGAACAGTTTATGCAATCACTAACACTATCCCGTTGCCGTCCTGGATGTTGCGCTGTCCTCATTAACTTCTCCTTCCCCGCAATTTTCTCGTTCACCAGAAGATTTACCGGTTCTGGACATGTTTATTGCCTTCTGTTGAATGAACTATAGCTCCAAAGGGAGGAGTCAAGAAATAAGGCTTTTGATTAACTTTAGGGAACCTACTCTCTCAATTCAAGGTGCCTTTAACGAAACACAAGTATTACAATACCTTTTTGACTTTTGAGTACCGACCCCTATGCTAGCCTTGTGGGTTGTCTTTAACCATGTCATTATGTGGTTTTTGTTCTACTCGGGCACAGACTTCATCCTCGAATCTGAACGGTGAAGCACCTTTATAACTCTACACAGGGTTGTGTTGCGGTCGAGGTAGTTCTTAGGTGAAATCTTTCAGTACTTGGACTTGAGTCTTCGCTTCGAGGTTAGCGGGTTTTGGGGTGGGAATTTTCTCTATTTGGAAAAAGATCTGTTTTACTATTACTTTTGCCTATTGCAAAACATCAGTGTCTTCTCGTGACACCACTTTTCTAATGTCTTCTCTCAGATGCAATACTTACTCTAGGGCATTGTCGTCTGCTGCTCCCTCGTTTTATGAGGTTAGAAGGGACTCGCTTTTCGTGGGCCATAAACACATTGAACGGCTAAGTAATAGCTGTGTGGATATTAGCCTTGTATACGAGGAGGGCGCGTCTCAAGCCTAAATCCCTATCCTCGGGCTGTGATTTCTTAGCAGAATTCCTTAGTAGCTCGATGAGAATGTGGTTCATTATTTCTGTCAGTTGCCTTGCGAATGTCCAGATATAGTGCGATTCCTGGGCATTCCAAAGGTCTTTCGTCGTTCTGTAAAAAGCGGGCTCACGAACTTATAGTCCTGATTTCTATGGTTTATTTTGGGCGGCTTTGTGCGGTCTGCCGCATCTTTTTTTGTAAAATGGCCCACGACCATAAGTTTATTTCCTTTCTTAAATGAACTCGTGCCCTTCTTGAGAAAAACGTGAGCATGAATTGCAGTGATGGGATCACCGTGGGTCGATGTTTTCTGGCACTGCTGTAACCACTGTAGGTTTAACAGAAAACATTCATGTCTCATGTAAGTGAACGGCACATATTCGCTTTTCTTGGTCTATCTGCCTTTTTTGTACCAATGACCTGGTTGTTCGTATAATTCTTTGCTAAATCCTTGCTACTGGTCTTGTAAGAGGATCACAGAAATCTCTTGTACACCATAGCTGTTTTGGGACCTATAATTCGAGTGCTTCCCCAGTGGTGCATTATATCCCATAAAAATGGCGCGCTCATTCCAACACCATTGATTACCTCTGCGATGAGCATGCGGGATTGTGTGCCCATGTTGCCATTGTTGGTGGATTTAATGTACTAAACTGCATTTGACGAAGTAAGCACATGATGACTCGTCCACTATGAGCTGACTCATGTCCAGTTTGTGAAGGGTCTAACATTGCGAGCATGATACTTGTGTAGGTAAAAACGCTTCCTCTATGCAATGACAGCGTCCTCTCCTACATCGCCTCCATCTATATCTGATCCAAAAGATAGAGCACTGGCTTCAAAAGTTGATGAGGCTGGGACGATCGCAGAGTAGATCGTTTGTCTTATTTCTTTAAGCGCCTCATTGTCCTTGTTTTCCAGTTTGAAATACCTTATTTCCAGCCTTTTCGGTTAGCTTACGCAGCGCACTGGTGATCGTAGCGAATGCCCTAACAACCTGTCTGTAGTGGGTCCCCAGGCAGAGCTCCATCTGATTGGTTGCCGTTGTCCGGGTTCCCATTGGTTTTGTGCGGGCCCTGGCAACAGGTGTCCTGTCTGATGAAAGGTTGTCTCAAAATGCTGACCAAGGTTTGAAGAAGACAGCGTTTCTTTGGATTCCATATCGATCCCGTGTCACACAGGAGGCCTAACACTTATTTCGGATTGGTATCAGATGCTGAATAGGCGTCTCAGCATTTGTAAAGTCCAAATGGCATTATCTGACTAAGGTCATTTGTGGATAGTCGCATTGATCTACGCAGAAAGTCCGATGAAATGATTATGTGGGTGCTGAGTGTGAGTCTGTTGTAGTTAAGCCGTTCAACCTCCTTTCATTGTAGACTTATGATGAGTTTGAAGGTTTTTTAGCCTCATCAGGGATCATCTCTTCAATTAGACAGCTTACTTCTTCCAGGAGGGGTGGTACACGTCTGGATAGTTTCCAAATGGCCGTGCTTTATCACCATCTTATCGCATGTTTGTCCGTCCCAGTTTTGCGTCTTGTTGCGAGGGTATATTTGCATGCTTACTCAGCAATGCATTGAGTTTCGTCCTCTCTACCAGTGGTGTATTTTTTGAGAGAAGTCAATTTGATCTGTTTGTGCGGATAGGTGTAACCTCAAAAGCACTACAAGCGTCATCTTCATCCTTTTGGGGTTGCGAAACAACTGTGTTAACCTTAGTGTGGTGCCGAGTGGAAATGTTGCCTTCTGCAGTATTGACGACCGCCTTTTGTCACAGAGGAGATCGGTGCAGTGTATTCGTTCACTTATAGTTCTGAGCATGTTTAATTTTTTTATTCAGGTCTCTTTCATTCCGCTGACTTTTAGCGACATCTGTCCTTTTACCAAATTTTTTTTTCTCCGGCTGAGTACAGTCTTATAAAAGTAGGATCATTCAGAAGCCCGTCGGGAAAGTTTACAGGCTCACTGTTGATTTAGCTGCATCGGTTTCAAAGTAGGCGTTCCCCAAGTTTGCTTGGCAATCGTATAGATGAATAAGAAATGATAAGAAAAAGAACGGCTCACCACCTGATAGTTAAATGTAGCGCCAAAAGGTGGCGGGCATCTGTTGAATATCTGGGTGATCGCCGTCACACGGAACTCTTGAAGCTTTCACGGTGTGAACTCAACCAGCTTAGTGGGTGGTCAAACTTTTACATTGAACTTAACCCTGTTATTCGATGTGTCTTGGACGGTACGTTTTGCCAGGCTTTGGGGTTTTCTACTTTATTTTTACTTGACCCCTTCAGGTTTTTAATGGCGTTGGGAAGTCTTGCTGGTGGTTGGTAAATCGCGTTGATGTTTTACAGCATTAGTAAATAAGGTGGTCGTGGGCGACCCCGGAGTCCACTGTCGCTCAGAATAAATCTGGTGGGAAGGCACTTAGAAAAGTGGAACTCTTTCTCGGTGAACATATGGGTACAGGCTAACTCTCCCAAGTGATGCTTCCACAAGTGTAGCGCGATCTACATTGATTCCCCCTCACCACCTCTGCGGCTCCCTACGACACAAGAGGATGGATGCCCTGTATTGCTTTGAATTTCAAAAGGAGAGGAGTATCTGAAATGGAATTTCACTCAGGTTCGGACGAATTGGTCATTTCTTCAAGCACAAGAAGTCTTTAATTGGGGCGATGAAAGGGGTCCCGTTTGCGCGTCATGACTTAATTCATCAAAGATACTTTTTAACCATAAAAATATCTTGAGTAGACTGGAATTTTCATTACGTTAAGTTCGATAAGTATTCTATTCAGCCATTAATTTTTTGTGCCTGCTATGGAACAAATAGCTTGGAAGCCTTTTCCTTCCCATTGAAGCACTCGAAATACTTGCGTCAAATTACCAGCACTACGAAAATACAGGCTTTTGATTTCGGTTAAAATACCATGCTTATCCTCAAATACATAAAAGTGCTCTAGTTTTGCGGCACCGGGCGACCGGACTATTGGGGCAATCCGCCGTAAGGCTTATTTGCTTACATTCAGGACGCTGATAAGAACAAGATTGCTTTGTTGATCAAAACTGTCCGCCTATTCCATGAGGTTTATTGCTGATGCCAAGTGACCTCGCATATTGTAATCCATTGTCCTACATTATGAAGTCAATCGGTTCAAACCTTTTGCTTGCTGTAAATTCCCTGAG